CAACCTATAGGAACACTTTGGACATGTTAAATAGGACTAAAAACATCTGATAGGAGATTTAAATGATAGAAAAACCCCATTTACCAAAATTTGGCCACCCGAGTGCCATTTCCCAAAATAGACCATAAATCTCCAAAATTCACAAATGACACAAGCGTGGCCAAAAATCAATTCAAACACCATATGTAACCACTTTGCATTTGCTTGTAGAATCACATATATTCATGTATATTAAAATAAACATTTGCTTGTAGTGCAAACTTGGTTAACCAAATGAATCCATCAAAACCACATACCATAACTAAGTTTCCTAATCACAAGTCCACAAGCAGATAAAAATTCATATAAGGCATACAATCCACACATATTCACATGCATGTATATAATCACATCTTACTGGCACCCTAATCGTAAATAAATTACAATAGAATTGCTCAAACGAAAGGGGTTGCGGTTCTTTACAATCTACAAACAACCCCTAACTCTACTCCTTTCCCCGCCTATCATTGGTTCCTTTGCTTGGACCTAAAAATATTAAAAAGAAAGGGGTGAGACAACTACAGTCTCAGTAATAGAGAAATCTACATTGATTATTACAAAATAAGTCATAATCGAATAAACAAATAATAAATTCAACGTAGTATATAATTTAGCCATTTAAAATGCATGAATACATGCCATAGGCCGATATGGCCTTTCATAACCAACATAATACCCCCTGGTACTCTTTAACTCACAGGTGAACCTTATACCCACTTGTACCTCCACGGCACAAAACACAACCTCAGGCATGATCTAATCCACCAAACTACTTATGCCCCTTCGATGTGAATCCTGAGTAGTCGAAGCTAACTCCTTCCTAGAGCTAGCCCAACTTACTGTCCATGTGAGGGCTACCTTGGCCTATAAACTGAACCTCACATTTCATATGTCGGATTCCCTCCCCTACTATGATGTATGAAACACTTAATACACTAACCACTTTAGTGCACTGAGCCCACAATACATAAGGCAACATTGAGTACTGGCAGTGTGCTATAAAATATCACAAGTCCACACCTTCTTATTGGTGAACTCCCAATGAGATCATGCCTTTTACTCTTATTTACCTTTCCTAAGTATTGACTAGTTCAACACTCTAAGGTAGTATAACATTTATAAATCTCCCTTAAATGGTTCCTTAGCCTATCTAAGGTACTTAACTTAGTTACACTTCTTTAACTGTAACTTCAATTCTTTATGATTACAATACATGCAAATAATCTCATGTTCATAAAAACATTGTTGTTAAACAATTAGAAAATATATTTGTACTATAATCAAAGTAGTACCCTATAACCCCTTATAAAGCATATTTAATCTTTTAAAACATGTAATGCATGATAGCTAGTAATATTTATTCAAAAATAGCTCAACAAAGGAATAAAAAATATAAATTCCCCTGTTACCTCAACCCTTTGATACCCAAAGGGTTCCTCTTGTATAAAATAGGACTTGGCTTGTTCCTTAACTTCTTCATAAGTTTCACCAATAATTCCCTACAACATATAAGTAATCCACATCACTTTTCATGGCAAATAACATAAAAAAAGACTATAACTTATACCGCACAACTTGGGTCAATGAGCCATAATCTATCCCAATGGTCCATGTATTAAACTAATTAGTCACATAGTATCACTTAACCACTAAAACCATTTATTAGCCACCATTAGGCTAATTTCCAAACCATACAACTTTTAATCAATTAAAAACCTTCACTTAGTGTCACCAACTTTTACTATTAGCCCTAATAAGGAAAACCAAAGCTTAATTTAAATCTTATTGGATTTAAATAGCACAATTATAACTAAATCAATAGGCTTAAACCATTAAGGAGCAAAACCCAACCTCTTAGGTTTTGACTTTTTCCCTAAAACTTTATTTTTCATCTAAATGTCCAATCAAAACTTTAAGGCATCATATAGAAACTCAAAACAACCTCCTAAGGACCCAAGAAAATTAAAGCTTACAAGAATAAAGCCTTTTGGATCAAATTTTAGAAATTTCATCTTCTAAAAATTGAAGAAAACTAAGAGGGAAGGAAGAGGATTGAAGTAGGGAGTTTACTTATTGTGTAGTCGAGCTCGCAATGATCGTAAAGCCTCCTAAATTCAAGCTTAACTCCCTCTCTTTCTCCTCTCTTCTTCCTCTCTTCTGTCTCATTCGTGCGTTTCTTTTCTTTATTTTTATTTACAGCTTCTGCATTCAGTTTTCCCTTTTAAAAAATGATTTAAAAAATTTAGGGAAAATTGCAATAAAGGGCCCAACATTTTTTTATTATAGCACAAAAGCTCGAGTGAACTTTAGTAATTTTCCCATAGTTAAAAATAAAATAAAAATAAACTTTTGCTGAGTAAAATTTAAACTCTAGATCTCTATCAAATTATTCTTAATTTTAATTTAATTTTAGATGTTTTATTTTTTAATATAAATTCGAGTCTTAAAATTTTCAGGATGTTACAATATGGCCATACATTTTCTCAGTCTTACCCATTGAGGGGCCTAGTAATATCTCTCACTTAATGTGAGGGACAAATTCCATCTTGACTACTCACATTCCTTTGCATGAGTATCACTAAACTCAATCATAGCCTTAATGATCACCCAGTCAAGGGTGACTTTTGACTAGGTCAAAGTTCAGTGGTCATCATGTAGGAATCCATGATGATCTCAAGTTAAAGGGCTTAGGGATATAGTTACATATAAGATAAGCTTATGACTTGTACCATGTAGCTTTCTCATACCAGGTCAGTCCAGTACTTTATAACTCTTTCAAGTACCTATGACTTTGATTTGTATCTCTATAATTAATCAAAGTCATACTAGTCTTGTTTTATCTGTGATCCCTCATAGATGACCAACCAGAAATATTTAGGACAATCATTATAGTTTGTCCAAGGATACAGTTATCATATTGAACATGCAATTGTTATGATAACAAAAGAGAAATTTATTAAATAACAATGTGTATAGTATAATGATTGGCCTTAGGGCACAATTTCCGACATCCTCCCACTTGAACTAGGTACAATCATTAATTTATCTAATTCTCATTGTCCTGACATAATGTTCATGCTTCACCTGTGCAAGAGGCTTTGTAAGAGGATCAGCAACATTGTCCTCTCCTGCTACTTTGCATATTTTTATATCACCTCTATCATTGATCTCTATGATAAGGTGGAAATGCCTGAGTATATGCTTGGTTTTTTGGTATGACCTTAGCTCCTTGCTCTATGCAATTGCACCGCTATTATCACAAAACAAGTTTATTGGATCTAAGATGTTAGGCACCACTCCTAGTTCAACAATGAACTTTCTAATTCAAATGGCTTCCTTAGCTACATCTAATGTTGCTATATACTCGGCTTCTATTGTAGAATCAACTGTTGTGCTCTGCTTTGAGCTCTTCCAGCTCACTGCCCCACCTTTAAGGTGAACATATATCCTAATTGTGATTTAAGGTCATCCTGGTCAGTTTGGAAGCTTGCATCTGTGTAACCTATTACAACTAGCTCACCATCCAATCCACCATATACCAAGAATAAATCCTTAGTCTTTCTTAAGTACTTTAGGATATGCTTGATATTAGTCCAATAATCCTCTATTAGATCTCCTTAGTATCTACTAGTTATACTTAAGGCAAATGAAACATCTGGTCGAGTGCACAGTATGGCATACATGATAGATCCAATTGCCAAGGCATATGGAACCTTATTCATACAATCTCACTGATTTTATGTATTAAGACACTGGTCTTTACTGAGATAATGCCATGAAACATGGGAATGAAACCCTTCTTTGAATCTTACATACTAAACCTACACAGTATATTGTCTATGCATGTGCTCTGACTTAAGCCTATTATCTTTTTAGATTTATCTCTATAGATTTTAATCCCAAGGATGTAAGTAGCTTCACCTAAGTCCTTCATAGAGAAAGATTCCTAACCAAGACTTGACATTCTGCAAGGTAGGAATGTCATTCCCAATGAGTAGGATGTCATCTACATATAGTACTAGAAATATAACTGTGCTGCCATTAACCCTTTTATAAACACAAGATTCATCAATATTTTGGATGTATCTAAACTCTTTGATTACTTTATCAAAACATTGATTCCAGCTCAGAGATGCTTGCTTCAATCCATAAATGAATCTTTAAAGCTAACACACCTTTCCAAAGTCCTCCGGACGCATAAAACCTTCTGGTTATAGCATGCATACTTCCTCAACTAGACGTCCATTAAGGAATGCTATTTTAACATCGATCGACCATATTTCATAGTCATAATATGCTACAATGGTGATAGGAAATTAGTCGCTTATCCTCAAAATTATACTAAAGCTAACCCTAATGCAATATAGGGCCAACCCTAGGTCATCTCCCAAGGAATGGTTTTAAGTCTAATTGAAAGTTATCTAGTGAAATAAATCAACCAAAGTTTGTAGGAATTTAGTTATCTAGCTAATTATCTAAACTAATTACCTAATATGTAAGTAATTAAAATGCTAGTGAAAGTGAGTGAAATGAACTTCCCTTTTTACAATAATGGAACCCTAGAGATTAGTTGATTTTGGACTCATTATCTTCTCATGATTAGGCTAAGTTTAGCTTCCCTTTCCTCTTGACTAAAGCTGTCATGACTTAAGAAAATTATCCTAAGCCAATTAACCTAATTAGCTAACCTCCCTAGGTCTTAGATTAAAGTCCCTAGTTTAATTAACCAATTGGTGAAGACATTAGCCAAGTGATTCACTCAAAATCCTCTCTCAACAGCCATGGTCAAACACATAAATTGAGCAACCACAAGATTATGTCAAGCTACTCAACAACACAAGCATTAACACCACAAGATTATGCAATATTAACACAAGAAATTTACTAATTGAAAAACACAAGATTATATGCCAAACAAAGAGTGGCAAAATTCAGTCATGGCTGTCCAAGGAAGAAATTAAATGAAACAATCCTCTCTCTTTACATCAACATCAAATTCAAATTAGAATTTATAAGCTAAGATGATTAAACCCTAGATTAAGGAATCTAACCATCTAGTAAAAAGAGAAGAGGATAGGAAATAAAAGAACTTAGCCAATTTGAAGCTCAAGACTCATCCTCCATCTTCATCTCTCTAGGATTCCACAAAGAAACTTAGCCAATCTTCATCTTCAAGAACCCTAGTGATTGCTTGTGAAGGCCAAACTCCATAGCTCTTGAATGATGAAAATGAGCTTCAATCCTTGTGAAAATGGAAGGGATGGAACAAAAATGAAGAAAGGAGAAGAATGGTATGAGTTTTGTGGAGGTTTGGTGGCTAAAAATGGAGGTTAGGGTGCTGGAAAATGAAGAACAAAAGAGAGAAAATGAAGAACACTATGAACAAGAGAGAGAGAATGTGGAAGATGAATGAGATATGTGTTGGGTCCCATTTGAGACTTAAAATGGCGTGCTCCTTGGTGTCTCCCATCAGCTGAAGCTTAATTAAAATAAGGAAAAAGAAATTAAAATGTAAATGGGAGCCTTGTCACACTTGCAAGGTGGCAACTTCCTATTGGTTTGTAGATGATTCCAATGTGTGCCTAATTTCCCATGTGTCATCCACATCATTTTAGCTGATCTAATCCCTCAAAATAATCATAATTCACGTGCAAACCATCAGCCATTGTCCTCAAGGAGTGTTGACCTCAATTGCCCAATTGATGCACAAGTCACATGCCACCTATGTCACATAAATCACATAATTCAATTAAATAGCATATGATATAATAAAATCTAATTCATGTCCAGAATTAAATTCATAATTAGAAGGGAGAATTTATTAAATTAACCAAGTTTTAGGCTGCACAAAATTATATAAAAATTTTCACACAAAGGCAAACCAAAAACTAGGACAAACTAAGACACTTAAGAAAGTGTTGACTTTTTTATTTAATTACTCCCAAACCAAAATGCCCCTAGTGCACTGATATTAGAAACTTAGGCAAAGTTCCAAATCTAATGCAATGTGTGCACTTGAAGGTGATAAATCATTAATAAAATGGTCCTAATTGACAAATAAAAGTGGGTAACAAATGTGTTCTATCAATTCCCCCACACTTAGCTTTTGCACTCCGGGCAAAATCAAGTGAAAAAGGTCCCAAAAGAAACTATAAGACAAAGAAATAAGAGAAAAACATTATTTCAAGTCACTAAAATACTAGCTCATGAACTTCTACAAATTATCAATCAATGTGGCAATAATTACGAAAGAATTATGCACATCACAAGAAGATACATGCTATAGGAGATATTTTAGTACCTACAACACAAGAAGATATACCCTTCTCAAGCATTTCAAGATCAAGCATAGGAGATATTTTAAACAAATCATGAGAAGAAGTAGTTGCATCATTCAAGCATGCATCAATCTCTAAACAAATAGGACAACTACATCCATCAATACATGTAGTAGTAACAAGAGACAAATCATCATCAACATGTGAGAAAGAATCAAGCATGTGAGACTCACAAGCATCATGAAGCAATAACTCAATGGAACTTACACCTAACAAAGAATAATCCTCAAAAGGATGTTTCATTGCTTCATATATATTAAAAATAACATGATCCTCTCCACATTTCAAAATCAAACTACCTTTTTCCATGTCAATCAATGTACGGGCAGTCCTCATAAATGGCCTTCCTAAAATCAAAATATCATCCCCACTCCCTTCTTTTGACATATCAAGCACATAGAAATCCACAGGAAATAATAGACCTTTAACACAAACCAACAAGTCTTCCACTACTCCATGTGGTCTTCTAACACTTCTATCCGCTAATTGGCATATCATAGGTGTCTTATGCATGCAATCAAGACTCAAGGCATGATAAATTGAAAGAGGCATAACATTAATGGCTGCACCTAAGTCTATCAATGCATGAGAAAAATGTGTGTTGCCAATCTTGCATGAAATTGTGAAGGAACCGAGGTCTTCACATTTTATAAGGAGTTGAGGCTTCATGATAGCACTCACAGATGAGGGTAATTGTACCCTTGCATTAGGCCTAAATTTTCTTTTATTTGTACAACAATCTTTCAAAAATTTGGCATACTTAGGAAAGTTCTTAACTACATCCATCAAGGGTACATTAACATGAATCTTGTGGAAGAAATCATATACCTCTTGATCAAATTGTCCCTTTACTTGCTTAGGGACCACTTGTGCTTGTGGAAAAGGAAGCTTCTTCATAATCTCTTGACTTTGCTTTCCTTCTTCCTTCCTTGAACTCTCCTTTCTTGTTTCACTTTGCTCGGCCTCTCCCTCTTTTTCCTTACTAAACAACTCGGCCATAGTCCCCTTTTTCACCTTAGATGGTGGTTGCTCACATATGATCTCCTCAATGTTTTCATCCTCATCATCTCTACAAAAAGATGCATCATTAGGAGCAAAAGAAAAACTAGAAACATTAACATCAATTGAAGAATTTAAAGAGGGCTTCTCGGCCTTCCCTTGTCTTTTGTCTTCTTGTACTCTTTCTCCCAACTCCTTGCCACTCCTCAATGTGATAGCATTAAGATTAGCTTTAGGATTAGCAACGGTGTTGGATGGTAATGTAGAGGCTTGAGCATTAGCTGCACTTAATTGGTTAGCAAGCATATTCATTTGAGAAGTAAGGGCATCAATTTTAGAGTTCATGTTCTCACACTTGTTACCCATACTCTCTACCTTGTTCCCTAAGCCATCATACATGTTTTTATACAAAGAGTTCATTTCAATCAACTGCTTACGTAACACATTCACATCATTAGGAGAGTTCGAATTAGAAGAACTCTCAATTGGAACAAGCCTCCTATCACTATAAGAATTAGAAGAAGGTGTAAGAGAATTACCACTTGGATTGTAGCTTTGAGAAGAGCTACCTTGAGACAAATGAGGTGGAGGGTCACGGCCAAAGGTGTTTTGATAGGATCCTCTTTGTTGATTGTCTTGTAAAGCCACATTTGGATTTGAATAGGAGAAATTAGGATGGTCTCTCCATGAAGGGTTGTAAGTATTAGAATAAGCTCCTTGCCCTTGCCTCCCACCATGGGATTGTTTTCCATTGTAGATAGCATTTACTTGTTCAAACTTAATAGGACAATTGCTTTCTACATGCATAGGTGAGTCACAAAAAGTACAAGAATAAGGGACAAGTGCTTGAGAAGTACTTACATTGCTCACTTGAGATATTTGTGGAGCCAACATTCTCCCAATCTTGGCAGCTAGCAAGTCCACATATGAATCATTAAGAACTGAGGAACCTACCATATTCACATTTCTCTTTTCCCTTGTAGAGTATTGAGCACCACTTGAAGCCATCTTGTCAATTAGTTCCCAAGCCTTTAAGGAAGTGAGGTCAATCAAGCATCCACCACTAGCGGCATCAATGTTAACTTTGTCTCTTGGAATCAAGCCCTCATAGAAATATTGGACTAAATTCTCACTAGAAATTTGATGGTGTGGGCATTTAGCCAAAAGGCCTTGGAATCTAGTCCAATACTCATAGAGACTCTCATCCTCTCCTTGTTGGACCCCATAGATTTGCTTTCTCAAATTGGTGACCTTGGAATTTGGAAAGAATTTATCTAAGAAGAGTCTTCTTAGCTCAGCCCATGTGCTCACTTTCACATAAGAAGGGTAGTTGAAATACCATTCCTTTGCTAAACCTTCAAGAGAAAATACAAAAGCCTTAGCTTGAACATCATCAACATTTACATGCATAGGCTTCATAGTATCACAAACCAATAGGAAAGTATGCAAAAACCTATGACAATCCTCTCCTGGTAACCCATGAAATTTAGGCAATGCATTAATCAAGGAGGATTTAATTTCAAATTGAACATTAGTAGGAGGAACATATAAGCCATAAGGATTATCATGCCAATTAGGTTGAGTTAATTGCCTAATGCTCCTCTCCTCTCTAGGGTTATGCAAGCCTTCAAATTCATTATTAACATGGCCATCATCATGCAAATTCTCATTCCCATTCCCATGGCCCTCATTATGCACATGCTCATGTCCTAAGATACCTTCCATTGTTGAATTACAAACCAAATGAGAATCAAGAATAGGTTGTGATCTTCTCAATCTAGAAATAGTCCTTTCAATTTCTGGATCTAATTCAACAAAAGAGGTATGTTTTCTTCGGGTCATGCACTAATCAAGCTCAAGAAAATTAAGAACAAAGAACAAGCTAAACTAAAATGCAAATCAACATGAAACAATTCAAAACACACAAAAGCAAGAGAAATAATTTTTTTTATTTTTTTTTATTAAACTCAATAGCAACAAAATGAAAAAAAAATAACACCAAACAAGTAGAAAGAGAGTTAGAAATGCTCAATCAAGAAGCTTTGGCAATTCTGGAATTCGCACAGTAGGCTCTCTGGAGACAGTGAACTTGTGAATTTTCTATCAGCAAATCCACATGATAAATTCCCCTGAAACTTTTATGAGAAACACAAGAGATATACAGGAAAATTATATAAAAATTTTAGATTAAAAATCCTGCCCAATCGTTCCCAGAATTTTTCACAAGTTGGTCCTCAAGTCTGGAGAAACAGGATTTCGTCCAGAAGACCTTCAGAGCTTCTAACAAACTTTCAAATAGGAAAATGGAAAAATTGAAGAAAATCCTAAACACAAGAAACAAAGATAAGACAGCGATAAGAAAAATGAAACTGGAATCAATCAATTTGAACGCACAAAGAGGAAGATATGCTAACTCAAAATTGAAACAGGGTTTTGGAAATCCTCTGTAATGGCTCCCTGGACCTTGTTAGATTGTAAAATTTCACAGGACACTTCCCACGTCCAAAATTGACCAAACCAATTTTAAAGTGAAGCTAGGATATAGAGCTTTCAATGAAATAAAAACAGAGTATTTTCAATTTCAGACAGAGACACTAGAAACAGAGTATTTTCAGCTCTACACCAAACCAACGAAAATTGCATTAATTTTTTTTTTTTTTTCAAAACAGAATAAAAACACTCAAAACACACAAAAACACTAAACAAAACACAAAACACAAATTTTTATAATTTTTCAAAAAAAATTTCCAGGAACACTAAAAATATAAATTAAGTACTAAACAACCTTAGAATTAAACTTAAACCATTCCCCGGCAACGGCGCCAAAATTTTGATAGGAAATTAGTCGCTTATCCTCAAAATTACACTAAAGCTAACCCTAATGCAATATAGGGCCAACCCTAGGTCATCTCCCAAGGAATGGTTTTAAGTCTAATTGAAAGTTATCTAGTGAAATAAATCAACCAAAGTTTGTAGGAATTTAGTTATCTAGCTAATTATCTAAACTAATTACCTAATATGCAAGTAATTAAAATGCTAGTGAAAGTGAGTGAAATGAACTTCCCTTTTTACAATAATGGAACCCTAGAGATTAGTTGATTTTGAACTCATTATCTTCTCATGATTAGGCTAAGTTTAGCTTCCCTTTCCTCTTGACTAAAGCTGTCATGACTTAAGAAAATTATCCTAAGCCAATTAACCTAATTAGCTAACCTCCCTAGGTCTTAGATTAAAGTCCCTAGTTTAATTAACCAATTGGTGAAGACATTAGCCAAGTGATTCACTCAAAATCCTCTCTCAACAGCCATGGTCAAACACATAAATTGAGCAACCACAAGATTATGTCAAGCTACTCAACAACACAAGCATTAACACCACAAGATTATGCAATATTAACACAAGAAATTCACTAATTGAAAAACACAAGATTATGTGCCAAACAAAGAGTGGCAAAATTCAGTCATGGCTGTCCAAGGAAGAAATTAAATAAACAATCCTCTCTCTTTACATCAACATCAAATTCAAATTAGAATTTATAAGCTAAGATGATTAAACCCTAGATTAAGGAATCTAACCATCTAGTAAAAAGAGAAGAGGATAGGAAACAAAAGAACTTAGCCAATTTGAAGCTCAAGACTCATCCTCCATCTTCATCTCTCTAGGATTCCACAAAGAAACTTAGCCAATCTTCATCTTCAAGAACCCTAGTGATTGCTTGTGAAGGCCAAACTCCATAGCTCTTGAATGATGAAAATGAGCTTCAATCCTTGTGAAAATGGAAGGGATGGAACAAAATGAAGAAAGGAGAAGAATGGTATGAGTTTTGTGGAGGTTTGGTGGCTGAAAATGGAGGTTAGGGTGCTGGAAAATGAAGAACAAAAGAGAGAAAATGAAGAACACTATGAACAAGAGAGAGAGAATGTGGAAGATGAATGAGATATGTGTTGGATCCCATTTGAGACTTAAAATGGCGTGCTCCTTGGTGTCTCCCATCAGCTGAAGCTTAATTAAAATAAGGAAAAAGAAATTAAAATGTAAATGGGAGCCTTGTCACACTTGCAAGGTGGCAACTTCCTATTGGTTTGTAGATGATTCCAATGTGTGCCTAATTTCCCATGTGTCATCCACATCATTTTAGCTGATCTAATCCCTCAAAATAATCATAATTCACGTGCAAACCATCAGCCATTGTCCTCAAGGAGTGTTGACCTCAATTGCCCAATTGATGCACAAGTCACATGCCACCTATGTCACATAAATCACATAATTCAATTAAATAGCATATGATATAATAAAATCTAATTCATGTCCAGAATTAAATTCATAATTAGAAGGGAGAATTTATTAAATTAACCAAGTTTTAGGCTGCACAAAATTATATAAAAATTTTCACACAAAGGCAAACCAAAAACTAGGACAAACTAAGACACTTAAGAAAGTGTTGACTTTTTTATTTAATTACTCCCAAACTAAAATGAATTTTAAAAATATAATTTCACCATTCATCAACTGGACATAAAATGCACTTTGTCAATTTTTCTTGTACATTTTCTCAAAAGTTCATTTTTTGGACCAAAATGCCCCTAGTGCACTGATATTAGAAACTTAGGCAAAGTTCCAAATCTAATGCAATGTGTGCACTTGAAGGTGATAAATCATTAATAAAATGGTCCTAATTGACAAATAAAAGTGGGTAACAAATGTGTTCTATCAAATGGCAAGGAGGATTTTGATTGATTTGGCCATTGTGACTGGTGAAAAGGTTTCATCATAGTCTACACTATGAGTTTGGGTAAATCCTTTTGCAACTACTTATGCCTTGAAAACATTTACTTTGCCCTCCATATCAGTTTTCTCCTTAAAAACCTACTTGCACCCGATGGTTTTTATTCCTTTAGGTGGATCGACTAAGGTCCATACCTTATTATCGTACATGGATTGTATTTCAAACTTCATGGCATTTAGCCATTTCTCAAATTTGGTCCCATTATGGCTTCTTGGTAGGTGGTTGGTTCATTGTATTTAATGAGCAACACATCATGACAGTCATTAATCAGAAATCCATATCTCTGAGGATGATGCCATGTCCTATCAAACCTTCATGGGCCTTGTGTTATTTAAGTAGGCTCATTTACTTCTTGTAAGTCTACTTAGTTTTCCATCTGTGGCTCTTTGCTATTTTGTGGTTTTTGAATTTCTTCAAGATGTATCTCGCTCCCACTGGTTCTTTTAGAAATAAATTTTCTTTCTAGAAAGATACCATTTCAAATTACAAACACTTTATTATCGATAGGATTGTAGATATAGTATCTTGTTTCTTTAGGATACCTCATAAAAAGGTACTTTGTAGATTTGGGTGCTAACTTGTCTGAGGCTTGTTTCTTAACATAAACCTTGCTTTCCCAAATCTTAAGAAAAGACAAACTAAGTTTCTTCTGAGTCTATATCTCATATGGTGTCTTCTCAATTGCCTTAGATGGAACATGGTTTAATGTGAACGTAGCTATTTTCAGTGCATGGCTCTAAAAGGATGGTGGAAGATCTACTTGACTCATTATGGATCGAACCATATCTAATAATGCCTGATTTTCGCGCTCAGAAACACCATTCTATTATGGTGTTACTGGAGGAGTTAATTGTGAGACTATCCCATAACTCCTAAGATCATCAATGAATTCTTGGCTTAAACATTCACCTCCTCGATCAGATCAAAGAGTTTTAATAGTCTTATCAAGTTGGTTTTGTACTTCATTTTGGAATACTATGAACATTTCAAAAGATTCATATTTGTGTTTCATTAGGTAGAGATATCCATATCTATTATAGTCATCAATAAAGGTAATAAAGTACAAATAACTCCTATGACAATTGTACTCATTGGTCTACATACATCTGTATGTATGAGTCCCAATAAGTCATTAGACCTCTCACTATGCCTAGTAAAAGGTGCTTTTGTCATCTTTCCTAATAAATAATATTTACAAATGTCATA